TCCGTCACTGTTGGGTGTCTATCACGTAGCCATAGTGGGACATCTGTGCCGCAGCTTTCGTAACCAACACATGTCTCTGGGATCTGAGCGCTCACACCATTAATGAAGAAACGATACCAGCCGCTCCAGCTGACGGTGCAATCATACATTCTGACTGAAGCACGTAAATTACTGGTGGCTCTCCAAGGATTCTCTAGCACAGTGTAGTTGTAACAGGGGTCAAGCAGATTAGCTGTAATGGAAATATTTTAAGAAATCAAAATGTTTCTGAAAACATTTGTTTTTTAATTATTTAATTCATTTTATTTCCTTGTGGTCTGAAATCTCTCTAGAAGTGCAGCTGAAATCATATTTTTTAGCATTACAGTCTTACACCATAAAAGCAAAACTGTCAACCAGAACTTTAGCAGGTGGCATGTTAGTGTTTGTAATATATAGTTCCGCATGGAGCAGGTGAAATGGAGTTGAAATGGACGTCAATATGAAAAAACATGGAAGTAAAATGTAAATATGACTAATATGACACTCAATATCCTCACAGTCTTTTAAAATTTGTGAACAAACCACCATACTCTGCATTGCCCTCACAACCATATGAGCACTGTGATGTCATATGATATCATATATGATGATGATGTCATATCATATGAACATATAATGTCTGCAATGATACATTCACACACTCTTTTCTTTCTCTTCTAGAGACACAAACACTCTCAAACAGCTGTTCAATTCTACAGATTCACAAACATTCAGTCAAAACACAATCAACAGAGGACACATCAGACTACATTACCAGCTGAGCTCATCTCTGGTGTGACGGTTGTAGTGATGCTGATAATGTTAGGAACAACTGAAATAAATAATCACTGATGAATGTCAATGAATCAGCAAACACACAAATAATACAAAGAGCAGATGTGAATATAACGTGAATATCATGTGAATATACCTGCACAGTATGCTGCATGGTAGATAGTTGGTCTAACTAACTTATAGACATAATAACTGTTGGGACAGGCTTTGACATTAATGGGAAAAGATCCAAAAAAGCAGCAGTAATTTTCCCAGTTACCGCAGACATCTCGAGTGACGACTCCATCCTCAACTGTTGGGTGTCCGCCACGAATCCACAGTGTGATATTAGTGCTACAGCTATATTTTTCCACACAAGTGTCTGGGATATGAGCACTCATGTTGTTAATGAAGAGACGATACCAGCCGCTCCAGCTGACGGTGGAATCATATATTCTGGCTGAAGGATATGTATTATTGTTGGCTCTCCATGGATTGTCCAGCACAGTGTAGTTGTAACAGGGATCAGGCAGAATAGCTGTTATGAAAACAAAAAAACAAGTGACAACATTACTTATATAGAATCAAAATTCAAGTAAATAAAATGGGAAACGGACAATGAAATGATTTTAATATCACCATTCTGTTAATGAAAATAAAAGGAGAAAAAAGAGCATATTAGTTTTACTAATGCATCAATCTTTTTTAAATGAAAAAAAAACTTAAATTAATATTACTGTTTCAAATAGCAGATTGCTCTGTAACTGAAGAGCTGAATGAACACCAGTAAACTGAAGTGCATTGTTTGCATGTTAATTAGGCTATATGAGATTAATCAGATATTTATACAACATAAACATAAACATAATACTACAAATTATATATGAACAAAAAGCTGCGAATGCACAAGTGAACTTGAACTGTTATATGCTAGACAGAATGTGTAACTCCTGTGATGTGCACTTCCCGTAACAATGTGCTGAAACACGGCAACTAAACCCAAAGAGTTCACAATGTTATATTGTTCTCATTATAATGTTATATATATATATGACAACCCCAATCATAGTTTTTAATGTTGTGCAATGTTTTTTGAGTTGTATGTGCTGAAGGTAAAGATGATCACCGGTATATAGACCAGGCATAGTTGTAACACGGGTCAGTTGTAACACTTCCAATTTCTCCAATCAGGGACAAGTTACAAATTGTCAGGGTTGTGGACATGTCTGAGTGTGTTTTTGCTCCCTGTGACCCATTTCTGTCTCCCTGTAACGGGGCTGACGAGACCTGAGTGGATCCAACTGCAAGCTTTTATTAAAGAGACGTGGTATAACAGGCAGGGTCGAACAATGGCAGACAGGTATATGGCGGCCAAAAACACAAGAATAGTCCTAGGGCTAGCGTAGGTCACCGACAGAATCACAGGGGCGAGACGAGAGGGGAAAAATCCAGGAAAACAGGCAAAGATCAGAAACCGCGAAAACAGGCAAGGCAAGGCAAGGCAAAACAAAACAAGGAAAACACAGAGACTCGGAATGGGGTACGGGCTAAACAATACTCAGCAGAGAATGGTGGTTTGAGTGGGTGTTATATAGTGAGTGAGGTGATAAGACACAGCTGTGTGCAATGAGTGCAATCAGTGCAGTGTGCAAATCGTGCAATGAATGATGGGATATGTAGTCCGGGGTGCTATGCAACAGTTTGTGTTGTACGAGAGTCCATGTAAAGGAAAGGGTGACCTCTGGTGGTGAATAAACGGAAGTCCATGGACCGAATTCGTGACACTCCCGTTGATTGTGTTAATTTGATTCCAGGTGTGTCTAGTTCTTCCCCCAATTATCCTGTGTTTAAAAGCCCTAGTCCAGGGTTCCTCAAATCTTGCCCTGGAGGGCCAATGCGCTGCAGAGTTTAGCTCCAACCCTGATCAAATTCACCTACCTGTGATTTTATAATGATCTTGAAGACATTGATTAGCATGCTCAGGTTTGATTAGGGTTAGAGCTAAACTGTGCAGGAAAGTGGATCCTGTGGGCCAGATTTAAGGATCCCTGCCCTAGTCCTTTCAGTCAGTGTTTGTCGGTTCTGAACGTCCTTCCGTGTGTTCCTGTGTCTCCTACGTTCCCCTTGTGATTGGATTATTAAAAGACTGTGATATTGTAGAACTCCTCGTTCCTTGCTCCCCGAGTGTGTTGTGACACAAATCACCTTATTCACTTCACTTGAACATGAGTTCAAGTGTTCAGCTTCACTTTTATTATGGCCAATTACTATTACTGACAGAAACATGCTTGCACATACACACACACACACACACACACACACACACACTCTAATTATGTTGAAAAGTCAGTGTTAAGTAAAAGAACTTTCAAAATCTTTTTTTTTTTGTCATTATACTTATTTCATAATGTTACATCTGACCCCTGGGGTATGTAAAACTAACCCAGACTATGGGGTAAATTGTAACATTTCACTCCTCATGTTTGAAATTAAACCATGAATTTTCTGTTTGTGCTGCAAATATAAGAGCTGTGTAATGTAATAGCAGGCACATCACATTTTAAATGTACTGACTTAAAATAACTCCAAGATACAGATAGAAATGTCAAAAATGTTACAACCATCCCCGGTCTCCGCTACATTTCCACGTTAACTAACCAAACGCAAGAAGTAGAGTATTCTGGATGACAGACTCGCCCTGCACATGTTGCACTTTACTGTATTTTTCTTTCGGAAGTGATTCCAATCATATTTCAAGCAATTCAACACCATGGCGAACAGTGTGCATCTGAAATGTGTCAGCTGAAGGAAATAATCCATCATTTATCGGCTTTAATATATCGGTCAAATTTTTTTTATCAGGGCTGCGTTTCTCAAATGCATTGTAAGCCAAGTTGATCATAGAGACCATTGGTGGCAATGTGTCTACGATCTACTTAGGCTTACGATGCTTTTGGGAAATGCAGCCCAGGACGATATCTAGAACATAAAAAATAACATTGGTGATAAGGATAAGGTGGCTGATATATTGTGCATCCATATCTTTGTCACAGTGGTCAGTAGTGTAAAGTATTTTAGTAAATGTACCCCACTTTTAATAAAACATAAAATCATCCTCCACACTTTTTTCGAGCCAGTGTGTTCACATAGAGATTTTCAAGTGCCAATGTGAATAAATCTAGATTTAAATTCAAAGAGACAAGATAATATATGCATGACCTGACATTTTATTCATATACAAAACGAGGTGATGTAAAAATTATCAAGTGCTAAACACTCTCATTCAGTGAATGTTTAATTCATACTCGAAGCCTGAGGGCGCCCTCGCTCAAAAAGTCCAAAACTGTCTCATAGAAGTAATAATTTGACATGCCAGGAAATCCTAATATGGACAAATGCATCCAGCTATCACTGTAGCTAAGCTGAATAAAAAGAAACGTTGTGACTGATGAAACATTAAGATAACAAACACACAATTGGGACATGATATGGTTTATGTGTGTTTTTCAAGTCATCTCCAGGTAGTAAAAAAAAAACACATCTGAATAATGCAGTGCTAAATGACAGCATGTATTACAGTAGGCTATAGAAACTATAAAATGTGTTTGTAGTATATAAACAAATCATAAAATTGACATTTGGAAAATATAGGAAAACATATTGAATACAAATTAATGGCTATTGTCCAGCAGTGTATTCGATTTCTTAGCCAATTAAATATGAGAGATAATAATAATAATAATAATAATAATAATAATAATAAAGCCTATCAATTATACAAAAAAAAGGTATTATTATATTTGACATTTCTGTCCCCCTCACTTCTGAAATGATGGCTATGCCCCTGATCAATAGATAGGGTGAATTATCACTCTCATTTCAAGCTGACTTCAAATGTCATTTGAGACACACACATCATGAATGTGTAGAAAGAGTAAATGTAAATATAATTACCTGCACAGTATGCTGCATTGCATTTAGTTGGTCTAACCAGCTCATAGACATAATAATTTCCTGGACAGGTTTTGACTTTAATGGGGTAAGACCCGTAAAAGCAGCAGTAATTTCTATAGTCACCGCAGACATCTCGAGTGACGACTCCATCCGTCACTGTTGGGTGTCTATCACGTAGCCGTAGTGGGACATCTGTGCCGTAGCTTTCGTAACCAACACACGTCTCTGGGATCTGAGCGCTCACACCGTTAATGAAGAAACGATACCAGCCGCTCCAGCTGACGGTGCAATCATACATTCTGACTGAAGCACGTAAATTACTGATGGCTCTCCATGGATTTTCCAGCACAGTGTAGTTGTAACAGGGGTCAGGTTGCAGGATTTCATCTGAGGGTACACACAGACTGTTTTTTTTGTTTTGTTTTTTGGGTCAAAAACAGCACTTAAAAGTTCAATTCAATTCAAAATCTTGAGTATGTAACTATTACATATGTCTTTAAGACTTGAGGACCAAACGATCAGTGACAGCAACACCGAGCAGAACGAAGGTGTCACGCATTTTATACCTTTTAAAAACGGCACGAAAACTGCAAAAATCAACAAAATGATAAATACAGTTATTAAAGAGAGAGAGGAAGAGAAAGAGCGTGTGTTTTTTTTAGTCGTTTGTGTGTAAATGTCTTGTGTGTGAGAGAGACAGAACGCACTGTCCACAGATCAGTGGTTTTTCAAACGTTTCCAAGGACCCGCAAATATAATAATTCCCTTCAGGTCTGGTTTTACGGAGGTGCTAAAGATGAAGCTGTAATACTAACATTGACGAAACAGATCTGACAAACTACCCAGTGCGTATTTGTGTTTGCGCTTTAGAGAGCGTAAAGGTTTCCATTTACAACGTGTTTTACTGCGTTTAGAGTTGAATCTACTTCATCCAGCTCTATTTGTTATATGTGTTCTTAAAGGGATAATTCACCCAAAAAGGAAAATTTTATGCTTATCTGCTTACCCCCAGGGCATCCTGTCATGACTTCGGTCTGATCAGCAGGTTGTTGTTGTTTTGTCTGTTTTGACAGTTCACCATGTGCTCATTGTCTTCGTGGTTTCCCTCCCCATCGTTATCTTATTAACTACTTCAGCTGCTGTCACACCTGTGGCTTGTTAATTCCTTAATTCTCCCTCATTTTAAGTTCCCTTCGTGTGTAGTCTTGTGTCTGACTGTTGTGGTGTGAACACGCTACTCTTCGTTCGTGACCTACTATCAGTCTTGCTGTGTTTTTGTCTTGCCGTGTTTTCATAGTTCCTGCCCTGGAGTTACCAGAACTGCGCTTTGTGGCCTCTCCTCTCCTGCCCCTCTCGGTGCACTCTACAAGGTGCTCTCGGCCCTGACGTTGTGTCGGTACCGACGCTTGGACTCTGTGCGCGGTTCCCTCTCCACTCTGACGTTGCGTCAGCATTGACGCTGGGACTGTGTGCGCTGCTCTCCCTACGCCTTACCCGCTCTGCCTCGTGGAGTGCTACCAGCCTGTCTCTCAACCCAGTGTCCTGCAGTCTGCTCAAGCCAGCTACCAGTCTATGCAGCAGCCTAGTGGCCAAAAACCAGGAGTGACCCGATACCAGCCTGTCTCTAAACCCAGTGGCCTGCAGTTGGCACAAGCCAGGTACCAGGCTCTGTCCCATCTCCGTCGACTGCAGTTAGCACAAACCAGCTACCAGTCTGTTCCCCAACCTAGTGGCCTGCAGTCCGCACAAGCCAGCTACCAGTCTATGCAACAGCCTAGTGGCCAAAAACCAGGAGTGACCCAATACCAGCCTGTCTCTCAACCGAGTGGCCTGCAGTCAGCACAAACCAGCTACCAGTCTATGCAACAGCCTAGTGGCCAAAAACCAGGAGTGACCCAATACCAGCCTGTCTCTCAACCGAGTGGCCCCCAGCCTATCTCCCACCCTAGTGGCCTGCAGTCCGCACAAGCCAGCTACCAGTCTATGCAACAGCCTAGTGGCCAAAAACCAGGACTGACCTGATACCTGCCTGTCTCTCAACCCAGTGGCCTGCAGCCAGTCCAAACACGTTACCAGTTTGTGCCCCGGCCTGATGGTCAAAAACCAGGACTGATCCAATACCAGCCTATCTCACAGCCTAGTGGCCTGCAATCCACACAAACCAGCTACCAGTCTATGCAACAGCCTAGTGGCCAAAAAACAGGACTGACCCGATACCTGCCTGTCTCTCAACCCAGTGGCCTGCAGTCAGCCCAAACACGTTACCAGTTTGTGCCCCGGCCTGATGGTCAAAAACCAGGACTGATCCAATCCCAGCCTATCTCACAGCCTAGTGGCCTGCAGTCCGCACAAACCAGCTACCAGTCTATGCAACAGCCTAATGGCCAAAAACCAGGACTGACCCGATACCAGACTGTCTCACAACCCAGTGGCCTGCAGTCATCACAAACCAACTACCAGTCAGCACAAGCTCACTACCAGTTTGTGGCCCAGCCCAGTGGCCAATCTGTGTCTCTTCAGCCTGGATTCCAACTCCCTTCTATGCCAGAGCAGTCAAGTTATGAGTCTCTTTCCAGTTTTGGTTCCCAACCCTTAGAGCAACCCAGTAATGAACAACCTGCTGATCAGACCGAAGTCATGACACATCCAAGATGTAGGTGACTTTGTTTCTTCAGTAGAACACATATGATTTTTTTTAACTCCAGCCATTGCAGTCTATCAGTCGTATAATGCATGGCAATGGTAACAAAATCTATGAGTAAAAAAACATGCACAGACAAATCCAAATTAAACTCTGCGGCTTGTGACGACCCATTGATGTCCTAAGACACTAAACGATCGGTTTGTGCCAGAAACCGAACAGTATTTATATAATTTTTTACCTCTAATACACCACTATGTCCAACTGTCTTTGGGTGCGCGCACGGCATCCGGTGTGTGAGGTGTGTACGCACTCTGGTGTAGTTTACGCAAGTGCCGGAAGTGATCTCTCGCGCGTATATGTCACTCATTGTTTGCACAGTCATTGTAGGTACGACGGCTAATCAAAATGGTACTTGCGCTTATCCGGATTGTTCAAACCGACTTAAAACTAAAAGATTAAGTTCTTTCGCGCGAACTCATTCGGGAGTGGTGACATTTGAGCCTTCCCAACTTCTGAGTCTGCTCGCCTGAAGTTATGGTTGATTGCTCTTCGGCTGGATATCAACACACCCATTAACGTAAACTACGCCAGAGCGCGCGCGTACTCCTCACGCACCGGATGCCATGCGCACACCCAAAGACAGTTGGACATATTGGTGTATTAGAGGTAAAAAATTATATAAATACTGTTCGGTTTCTGGCACAAACTGATCGTTTCGTGTCTTAGGATATCAATGTGTCGTCACGAGCCGCAGGGTTTAATTTGGATTTGTCTGTGCATGTTTTTTTTTTTACTCTCATAGATTTTGTTACCATTGCCATGCATTATACGACTGATAGACTGCAACGGTTAAAGTTAAAAATCATCAAATGTGTTCTACTGAAGAAACAAAGTCACCTACATCTTGGATGCCCTGGGGGTAAGCAGATAATCATCAAATATTCATTTTTGGATGAACTATCCCTTTAAGTATCTCGATAGGCTACTGTGCGTTTTACTGAGGAATGCTTTATATGATTCATATGACTCAAAATAATGATTAATCCATAATTAGTGGCATGGCTAGTTCACTTGACAGAAATATGGGACACACATCACAACAGCTGAAATATTTGCAGGGCAGACCGTCAGGTCAGCCAAAGCGCTCATGGTACGCACATTGCGTACAGCCGTACACCTGCAGGTGCCACTGGCATGCGTGACACTTATGTGCCACAGGACACGCACTCCATTGTGGATTAAGAGAGCGGAATAAAATATATGGAAAGGTGGCACATGGGTAAATAAGTGTAGAGTTGCACTTATTTTGGTGTTTGCTCACGGGCATCAATCGGCAGGCAGGCAGGCGCCACGCTTACTGGAGAGGGAGTAAATTAGATAGATGCGTGTGAACCAAACGACAGTGCAACCTTGGTTGTTGGTTTTTCTTCATTTTGAATATTCTTTTAATGTTCTGTTCTTTTCCTTTTATATTTTGCAACTATTTTATAAAGTTTCTAAATAGTTGCAAAATATAATTTTGTCGACGGTAAAACTCTGTCCATGCGGCCGAGGCTTGTAAATGAGTCTGGCTACGCGCATGTTTTTGAAGACCGCGGTCATGTTTTAATGCTGCTTTCCAGTTCCGAAAACCTGACGAATGAAAGTATCATTTTCTGAGAAAGCAACCATGAACACTCAACACGGAAAACAAAAGCATGCATTGCCGTAGCGATGACGGGTCAAGTGGCAGGTGCATTTAGTGGTGAGCGGTCGCAAATATATTTTAAACTAGTTTAAACTAGAGTTGAGGATATACTTCTATTATCCCCCTCACAGAAGCGCTTTTCAGCGTGAGTGTCTGTTTCGGTCTCCGGTGGTTTGTTGTTAATTTTCCACCTTGGTGACAAACTAATTAGCGCTGAAACAATTCAAGACGGATTTGCGACATGCACGTGCATTCAGTTGAATAGCTGATTTACAGCATTAGCTGTGATAGGGTTTTTTATATCCTTAAGAATTTTTATTATAATTACATTTAAAGACAGAGCCACAATTTGTTCAGTGAACCACTGTTTCCTGCTGAAAAAAAAACAAACAATAGAAACCAATACAGAAATTTTAATGGTTTCCATTACAAATAGCATTACAAACATTATAAACCATCAAATATTAACCAATAAAACCATTAAAATGGTTTCCTGTAATGTATTTTGGGACATAATTATTCATATTTAGGATTTAGTGGTTTTAACAAGCCACCAATAAAAGTCAAGTAGACACACAGGGACCATCACATTTTCCATTAAATCCAATAAAATTCCCATTATAACCAGTAAAACCATTACAAATTCTTTGATGGTTTCTATTGCTTTTTCTCAGCATTCCCTCTGCTAAACAAAAAAACATACCAAACGTCAATTCAAATCTGAGGTACCTAACAAACCATAATTTTTGGTTATCATTACACCCCTATCTGCAGCACAATACATTACCGGCTGTGGTTGTCCCTTGTGTGATAGTTATACAGGCCAAGGCATCTGAAAAAAATTAATACAAATTAATAAACATTTGAAAATAGCAAGACAATTAACAAAACGCCAAATAAAAACAGCCATGGCAGGAATCATTTATGTCATCAGCATATATGGATGTTTGTGAGATTGATGTGATGTGAAGTGTAAATAAGCTCTTAATCACTGTTCTAAATTCCCTATGTATGTTTATAGAGGAAGGACCTTAATTATGAATGTGTGCCACTAGTTGACGAGTTTACGCTATTCTGCTTTACTTTCACTTTCACCATCCGCTTGCTCCGCCATTTTTTTCAGGTGTTAATGTGCGTGATTGAATGTAAGTTTATTTAATTATTCCTGAGTATAAGTCGACGTTGTTTATTTCGCTGTTTTGTTTAAATAGTCAGCTTGTGTAATCAAACCTTACATTGTTTATAATGTTGCTATATTTAAAATGTACTGTGATTCAAATGCGTATGCTTGCTACTGTTAATCCTCTTCTGGTCATGTTGATTCATGTATAACGTGTCAGTAGCAAGTTGTTATTTACATGTCTGTTATTTACATTTAGCAAATGCAAACTGATGCTTGTTTTATTCTGTTTATTTCAGAAAGACCACATTTAACACTTTGTGGCCATAAGCTGTACAACATCCAATCCAATTGGAGCAATGTTGTGCCATCTGCTGTGAACAGTTAAATACTTCAGATAAAGAGTTGAACAGTGCCCTGTCTCCTGTCGCACTTCTTACCCGAGTCCCGTGGTGGATTAGCATCAACACCCCTACCGATCTATTAGTCACGTTCAATCACAGTGTGTCAGAACAAATGAAATATGAAAACTTGTTTAGCATCTTCAGTGTTGATTTTTAGGGAGGATTTAAACTAAATAAAAATGTGAAATGTTTTAAGTGGACCCTACAGTACTACACTCTTATTAATAGATGAAAGCCTAGTCAGATTATCCAAATATTTATTAGACCAACAGGAGTCTGCTTGTGTGTTATATTCATTTAGACAACAACAATACAAAAAGGCAATAACAAAAAAATATATATGGTTTATACTTACAAAGCACAACAGAGATGATATTCTGTGCTCTTAAAACAACTGTCGTGAAACATGAAGAAATCAACACTGGTGAAAAAATGAAATATTACTAGATTTCTAAGTCTACATAATCTTAAGACAATTCTTAAATTTCAATTTTGAGTTTGTAATATTACATTCATCATCTGACTGTGGTTCATATTATAGATGTTTCCTAAATGAGAACCAGCCTTTAAAAATACATACTTTTACAAAGAGAGGAGACCATTGTCAATGTTGAGAGTCCAGTGTATTTTTTTTTATCCACAAACCAGCTCAGAGGACGAGTTTCCTTTACAGAAAATGAATGAATGAATGAATGAATGAAGCAAACAAGCAAGCAAGTTGTATGTTCTTATGTTTGTTTCATTTTTGTGCCAAACACACAAGGAAAAAATTACATATAAAAAGTTTGAAATTCCTAAAAACGCAGTACAGATTTCAGATTTTTTTTTTTTTAAACTGTATACAAATCATGTTAGAATCACAATTTCCCGAAAACATACCTGAAAAATTGTGCAGATTACAGAGTAATTGCTAAAGATCTCGGTAACACTTTACGGTAAGGGTACATGAATTACCATGAATTCATGCATAAATTAATGTGTGAATTATGCCTTACTTCATGCATTAATATCTCATGAATTATTAGGAACTAACATGAGTTCAAAGTCTTTCATTCATGACTTCATGGATGAACA